GGACGATCCACATAATCGGCCTGGATGATTTACTTTCTCAATGGTCATCATGCCTGACTCCTCGGGATGTTTGTCTGTGTCTAATCATCACGGACAATATCTGATCATCCCGGACGATCGGACCGCCTTTTTGACCAATCGGCCTATACACAATAATTATACTAGATCGTCCTGGACGATCCTGCAATTTGCCTGGACAATCCGACTGATCCTTTAAATTTTGAGCCGTCCAACAAGTTTTCTTCACACCTCTCATTCCCTTTGGATTTCTACTTCCTATTCCTTACTTTTTCTTGCTAATGGCTGGCGGGAAGCATTCTCGACACACGTCTGGAAGCTTCTCGAGGGGCACGCTGGACCCTCATTTTCGGGAAGCAGATGATCAGGCTGCCTACCACCGCTACAAAGATTACAACATTACTGTCTCCCGAACAATCAATTCAGTCCACCTCTCCTATCTGGTACTTGACCTTTTTACTCACACCTCTCTGTGCTTTATTCTCACCCTCGAAGTCCCCTTTAATTATGAAATTCTTTTTGAATTTTACACCAACCTTAACTTCAATTCTTCCTATACTACTCTCACCTCATTTGTGAATCAACGCCCAGTCGAGATCACATACCAGGATTGTGCCGAACTATTGCAGTTGTCCACCATTGGATATAAGCTGCATACCCTCGTTTTTTATCATGATTTTAACTGGGCTACGGCCAATCACTTTCTTCGCCACAACAATTTCTTCTTTCATATTGGAGATACTAGCTCTTTACTTAAAGATACTAGGACGATCCAACATGTCCTTCGCACCTCTTTGATTCCCAAAGCCGGTGACCGTGTCCATATCACTCCTCTTCTTTCACTTACCACTTTTTACATAATGGCCAATCGTGAATTCAATGCAACCGACCTGATCTTTCACTATGTCAAACATTTGACTACAATTCAAGATCCAGGTCATAGAAGGAAGCCCAATCTTGCTTCAGGACACATCATTGCATATATTCTAGAATCCAAATACAACCTTCAATATCCTTCTCCTCCCGACCTTCAGCTGCCCTTCTACTCAAATAATTCCTTCAACGTCCTTCACAGTACTCGTCTCCACCCAGGGGATGGGGAAGCTCAGGGGATCAAGGAGGAGGAGGCTCTCGCTCTTGTTCTTGAACCTGTTCCTCTCCGCCAGCACTCTCAGCTAAATCAGCTGATGGAGAGATTTGATCAGTGGGAGACACGCTTTGAGGCCTACGTTGTTGCACAGGAGCACCAACATACTGAGGACATCATCTACATGTAGCACCAGCATGACCAGGTCATGGCCCGGTTTGGATCTCAGTTTGCCACTTTGACCAGTTACTTTTCACCACCACCTCCTCCGTCTGATGATCAGGGTCCCTCCTTTCTTTAGTGTTCTTTATTATGCTGTTTTTTTTGTAGTTTGTTTTTCTTATGGTTGTTTTAGTTTTTGTTTTTTTTTTCTTATGGTTGTTTTGGTTTTTGTTTTTTAGTTCCCTCCTTTTTGTGATGTCAAAAGGGGGAGTAATCTGATGTCTCTTGTAATATGATTTTGGAACTTAGTGAACTATTTTTTTTTTCACACTATTGTTATTAAACTGCCATAACTGTTTGAACTTTTTTTATTGTGTTTGCCATCATAAAAAAGAGGGAGATTGTTGCGAATCTAAGATTATGGATTAGACTTTTGATGATAGCAAACATTCATATTTTTTCACGACTGCCTTGCCTACTAACTTTTAATGTCCACATGATCGAATGCAACTCAAGACCAGCTCAAGATTGGGTAGATTTTGGTTGAGTCAGTCTGTAATGTTTTTCTTTTTCTTGAGTCAATTGTAAAAGTGGTTCCTGATGCTAAGTAACCTTGCACACACATACTTGAGGGGTTTTTCTGAGTTTTTCTATTTTGAGTACATCAGCTAGGACAATCGGAACTTAGGCATTATTTATTTAGGCATTATTTATTAATCTAGGAAAATCTATACATTGTTTTAGACAATGCAGCACAATTATACATAAATTAATCTAGTAATTATAGAAAGCAATTAAGGTTGATTGATACGATCACATCAGCCAGGTCGATCACAGGATCGGTTGGGATGATGTCCTAGATGATTAACATCGGCCAGCATCTATTCCGAGCGATGTTCAAGACAATTGTACTCGGATTTGAACTAATCGGCCAGGACGATATTGTATCGGCCTGAGCGATGTAACAAATTTTCTTCTGTTCATCCCAAATCGTCCCGGCTAATTGAGTCTATTTTGTACTGATTGGCCAGGAAGATATTCATATCAGCCTGGACGATAATGTCGGTTCTTGAAATTCTATTTAAAGAACCCTAATTTTATCAAGTAAATAGGCCTTTAGCTGCTTTCTTGACCTGAGAGAGTCAAGAGAAGAGGGGAGAGGGATCCACAAAGGGTACTACAAGAAAGGTTCCAAGGCGTCTTCTCCAGTCTTCGTCCTTCGTCCTTGGGGGTTCAAGCGAGGTAAGCTTTAGCAATTATTCGAGGTTCTCTCCCTGCTTCAGCAGGAAGCAAAAGGAGTCAAGGTTCTCTGCCTGCTTCAGGAAAAAGCAAAAGGAGTCAAGGTTCACTGCCTGCTTTAGGAGGAAGCCAAAGGAGTTGGGTTCTCTGTCTGCTTTAGAAGGAAGCAAAAGGAGTTGGGTTCTTTGCCTACTTCAGGAGGAAGCAAAAGGAGTTGGGTTCTCTGCCCACTTCAGGAGGAAGCAAAAGAAGTTGGGTTCTCTTCCTTGCTGGGGTTGGCGGAAAGGAGTTTTTGTGAGGGCTTCTCCGCTTTGCTGTGGGAGCAAAAGTAGAGTCACTTTTGTAATGCAATACTCGGAGGGCGCCTCCGGGGAGTGGACGTAGGTCGAGTTGACCGAACCACTATAAATCTGGTGTGATCTTTCTTTGTTTTGATTTATGCATTTATTTTTCCACACTTTGATTTCTGTGGTGATTTTGATTTTAAGTTTTATGCTTTGATTGTGTAAGAAGATTTTTTAAAATAGAATCTTGGTTAGCCTTGGTCCAGTTCTTAAGGGCTTAACATCCCTAACGAACTTTCAAAAATGCATCCAACTACATTGAATATATTTAAAAGAAAATACAAAAAAGCTAACTAATAACATCAGATTCCTCCTTTAACAAATAGATAAAAGAAGGAGAAACCTTATTTGTACTAATGTCTTCCCAAATAAAAAGAACTAAAAAGAGCATAGTTAGCACATAGATCAAAAAATTTATTGCAATTCCTATCTATACAATTGAAAATAACATGATTAAAATCTTTAATAAAAGATAGATCTTCCTCATTCTGATGACCATTAGTAAAAACACCTTGAAAAAACTTCATGATATTAGCATTGTCACCTTCAATGATGATTCCCTTATATTTGTACATCCAATCTTTAATAACCTCTTAAAGCAATTGAATAGCCAATAGTTCCAACCGAGATACATCTCAATGGACACAAGTATGTCCAAATGCTTATAAATCTGCCTTTGAAGTCACGAAATACACCGCCAATCCAAACTTTATAAGACTGAAGTAATGATGCATCATCATTAAGTTTGATCCAATTGGGTGGAGGGGGATGTCAATGATTATCCAACAGCTTAGAAAGCTGATTAGCATACCATTTACCCAAGTTAAGAGAAATCTTACATATAGAAGGGGAAGCATAGCTCACATCATTCGAAGCAATGAACAATGAACTATCATCTTTCTCTTCGTGAACTGCTTGTTTCTCGCCTTCCAAGAAAAAAAAAACAACATTGCAATACAAATTTACCAACCAAGAGTTTTGTAAGGACATCCATTTATAGCACTCTTCCAATGAATGAAAAGTTGGAATCCCAAATCCCCAATTGTTAAGATTATGAAATATATCTAACAGCCTCTTACATTTTGCAACATCATGCTCAATATCTTCTATCTCATTGTAGCTTCTAGGACATTCATTACTTCTTTTCAATCTTCTATAACATAAGAAATAAATAATAGGAATAGCATTGTTGAAAACTCTCCACCAGAAACCTTCTACCCGAGGATTAAGTTTGGCTTTCTTAATCCAATTCCAATATTGAGTTTGCTAGTTAGTTTGAAATAAAGCTTCATATGCTAAAGCTAAAATCGATCTTCCAGAATTTGTAGCGATTAATTCCATTCTATCTTTTTCCAATTTAGAAGAATTCAGAATTTGGCAAATGAGGTTCAAAAGATAAAAAAAAAAAAAAAACTTACTAAGTTTGTATGTATTCCAACAACCACTTGAAATGAATATGTCAACCGTTAGTTCATTGGAACCTTGAGAAATCACATACGTTGGCCATTTATTTAAACTCTTGTCCATGATCTAGATATCCTTGAATACATCAATCAACTCACCATTAGCAATGCACCATCTAACAATAGGCTTAAGATATGTCCCCCGCCATAAATGAATTTCCAAGCTATAGAACCAGCCTTCTTTGAAGAGTCATCTTCGTATAGATAACCATATTTTGAAAAAAATTCCTTATGCTGCAATGATTTTTCATCTTGAATATATCTCCAAGCAAGTTTTGCTCTTAATAACCCAACTTTATCAGAACAAGAATGAAGAGCTCTATCACCCCATTTCAAAGGCAAACACAACGTCCCAATTCATATAATGAAGACCACAGTTTACATTCATCTTATCCCAAATAAAACTTTTACAAAGCTTGTCAACCTCATCTAGAACACCTTTTGGGATCAAAATATGAGTACAATGAAAAATAATGTAAAAAAGCAACAGTCTTGACAAGATTAATTTTTTCCACCAAAGAAATAATTTTTCCTCTCCAAATATTAATCATTCATAAAAAATATTCTTAAAAAATTTTGTCTTCCGAGACTTATTCGGTTATATAAAAAAAATAATATTTTATATTATTCTTCCATCTAACTTTTTTTTTTTCATATAAAAGTTACACTCGTTCGTAATGCAAATCTTAGCTGGGTTCCCGCAGGGGAACCTGCTCGAATGCTCCATAAATCGCAGGGCTGCCGTGTTCGCTGCCATATTTAAGGAGTAGAGTGGACCACGTTACGCGCCTCTTCTTCACACGATCATCTTATCGGCTCCGTTCCTCGTGCTGGTTTTCCTTTAACTCTCCTACGGCGATAAACCCTGGAGCTTTCTCATATCCCATTATTAAACGAAAATTGCTTCTTTGCGAATGCTAGGTTACTAATACGCCCTTCCCTTAATCGGAACTTAAAAAGGTATTTTCTTTTTCCTATTTTGTTTCCATTCGAATACACCGAAGTCGCCGAGCTTATAGGACCTCTTTTTATGGATTTTTTTTCCTTTGGCCATTTACTTATTTTGCATTTTCAGTGCATACTCGTTAGTCGGTGGGAGTCATGAGAGAATTCTCGGTCATTAGTGGATTTGTTGATGTCAACGATTGTTGTTGAATATGAATATCAGCAATTTCATGTTTTCCAGTTCGCGTAGAGTCATGACACTCGTTTTTTAGAGATTGAAATAATGTCTCAAAGAACATAGCAGCGTATAGAGTTTTAATTTTTTGATATATTTCAATACAGTTTTTATAATTTTTTTTTTGTTTTATATTTCCTGCATTCTGAACTTTGAGAAATTAAAAATGTGTTTTCAGATGCTGAAGTTTGTGAAATTTGTGAGATCGCAGAATCTGTATGGGGATCCCTGCCTTTATTTTTTTATATGTTTTTTTCATGATATTTTGTGGTAATGAACGTCAATTTTGATTCTTAATAAGAATATGATAAAAGAGAAGTAATGCAAGAAGGGTAAATTTTTCAAGGATCGGTGATAATTATATTTTTCCTTGACAACTCCTAAATTGGATTAGAATGAAATCTTTTTTGGGGATTATAGCGGCATAAAAATAAGACTTTTCTTTTTGATTGCAGATAATTATATTGCTTTCCCTGATCATTCCTTCGGTTTTCTTGGCTATTTAAATATGTCATGTGGTGCGCACACCAATTGTTTCTTTTGGAAAGAATACTCCACCGCAGGAGCCAAATTGCCACCTGTAAGCCGGATAAACAATTTGCATGGTCAAAATTTAATTAAGTTGAAATTCTGGAATAGTAGAAGAATAACATGCATCAGCTCACCAAAAAGCTGGGAAGTCTTATTTCATGGATTGAACTGTAGAAGGTTTCATTCAACGTTCATCAGGAAGTCATTTATTCCATATATGAAGTCCATGTTTGGCACAAGATCTTGTGGGGTATTTATTATACTTTTAATATGTAATTTATTTTCTTATTCTCTATCTACAAGATATGCTATTTATTCAACTTTCACTTTTCTAGGCTGATGGGGAACTAGATCTTCAAGAAACGGTTCAATTCAACAAGGTTAAGTGGCTGGAGAAAGTGCCGTTTATGGTCATTATTGGATTGCTATCAATATTAGCCATTCAGCCAGCTGGTGCAGTTGACAGCCTAAAAACGTGCGCTTGTTTACTCAGGGAATGCAGGTATTTGATTGGTTTAAGTTGCATTTACTTTCATACTCTTTTTACCCCAGATCTGTTACCTGAAGGCATTCTTTTGTTTGTAGTTAAATATTTCTTCCGACCTGCACTTATAAGTATGAGACAAGGATTTTATTTTGTGAATCATATCACTTTATATCTTTGTTGTTAATTTCTCAAGGACCAGTTCTTCATTAACTACTTTCGGTTCCAGTCAGATTTGTTTAGTTTTATCATAAATTGAGATGGTGTTTTCCCTTGACGATAACCATCCAAAATGTTGAATTAACTGTTTGTTTTATTTAATTTCACTCATAGGGTGGAACTAGTCCGATGCATTAGTAACCCAGCATGCGCAGCAAATATTGCATGCCTTCAGACATGTAATGATCGGCCTGATGAGACTGAATGTCAGGTTTCTTTCTTTTCTTCTTATTTTTATTTTATTTGTTCATATAGTTGTGAGCACATATATCAAGGAATTCTAGAGAATTTTACGAGTTGGCTTCTTTACCACTTTTTTATCTTCACAGATAAAGTGCGGTGATTTGTTTGAAAACAATGTTGTTGATGAGTTCAACGAGTGTGCAGTATCACAGAAGAAATGTGTTCCTATGAAGAGTGATGTTGGTGACTTTCCTGTACCTAGCCCATCTGCCCTCGTGAGAAAATTCAATATCTTAGATTTTGATGGGAAGTGGTACATAACAAGTGGCCTAAATCCAACTTTTGACACATTTGATTGCCAATTGCATGAGTTCCATGTAGAGTCGGGGAAACTCATTGGCAATATATCATGGAGGATACGAACTCCAGATAGTGGTTTCTTTACCCGTTCTACTACACAGAGATTTGTGCAAGATCCTTCACAGCCTGGGGTTCTCTACAATCATGACAATGAATACCTGCATTATCAAGATGACTGGTTTGCCTCATGTTTTATCTAGCTCTTCATTTATCCCCTTCAACATGCATTCTTTATGTATTTTCATGTATGCGCGATATTATCTTGTCACTTTCAAGTGCCAAATTGTGTTAATGAACCTCATCTTTCTAAACATGTTGATAGTTGTGCTACAAGCTACATAGCAGAGTACATCATGGGTTTATCATATCTAATCATTACATTTTATCTTTAATGTATTCAAGTAGGTGAAACAAAAGAGTTGACTATGAATAATAGTGATTAGAGCGTTGAAAGATAAGGATAACAAATATGGTTAATTATAGGATGATTTTTATTAAGTGCTCATTTGGTTGCTTGTAGATAGAAAATATATTTCAAGAATTTCTAGGAGAGTGCATGATTAGATTCTTATAAGGAGACTTGGTGGTATAATGAAGAGGCATAAAAGATTGTAAATGAAAAGATTTGTACTATTTAAAATAATGGAACATTAATTACAGCGCATAAATATGATAATCACCATAACATGAAAAGATCTTCAAAGAGATTAGTAAATGAAGCCCAATTTACAGCACTTGATTATTTTTATAGTAGCCAAGATATTAAGGACAAGAAAATGAATATTTTAAGTTGTTGATGAAGAAAAATGACCTCTAGAGATTTTATTTTGGTTGATATATTGTGAGTCAAGAAAGTACAATATTAGTTAAAGATATAAAATTTATTAAATATAGAAATATTTAAAACTTGTTGGATGAGGGTTTTATGGAAGATGCTTCTTTTTAAATTGAAAAAAATGGTAATTATATATATTTTTATAGATTTATCCAAAAATGTGTGGAATATCTTTATTAGATTTCAAGAAGAGCCATCAAATAATCCTTAGGCCCTAATATGATACTCATTAAGATTTCAAGAGTTGTGGTAAAATATTGTTGTCTAGGAAGATTTTGAGGATTTCATGGAGCCTTCGAGAACATTCTAAAAACTTCAAAACCCTTCCCAAATCTTTGAGAAGATTGTAGAAGTATCCAGAGGTTAAGGGGAATCTTACTCATTAGCTTTACCAGGCCAAACCTTTCTTGTCGTCCAAGGAGGGGATGGACCAAGACAATATCGGGAATTAATTTCAATTTCCTAAAAAGTTATGAAAACTATATCAATTGAAAAATTCAAGCAACCACTTTATCGACTAAGCATGTCTGATAATAAAATACATTTAAAATGCTTTGAATTTCAATTTCTTGGTTTTTAGTGTTGCTTAGCTTATTTCTTAGGCTTGTTTCTACGTTGAAGCAAAATTGAATTTGAGTTGTAGTTTGAATTTCATTTCTCTTAGATTTTCTTCAGCTCAAATGGAACAAGTATAACTATTTTGCAAGGAATGATGAAATAAAATCATCATTTGTGGATCTTATGCCTTTGCCGCCAATCTCCCTGATATGGAGATCAGATCATGAAGCGGATGCTTAATCCCACCATCCACTTCAAATAAGTTCTAAGAAGAAACTTACCTACAGTTTACACCTCATATTTTGTGTGCATTAAATGATCGATTCACTTGATTCTATTTTTTTTTTTTTGAAAGAAATGTATCAAATAACATTAAACTGAAAGAAAGATCCTAAGTACAAGTAATAAAGGGATCACATTCCTCCTTGATTAAACCTAACAACAAGGAAGGAATGCAATCAAAAGAGAAGCTATCAAAGAAAAAACTACTCTCCAATGTCATAGTAGCACAACAATTTGCTACTTTATTACAATTTCTATAGGCATGGAGGAAGACAACCTTATTGAAATCATTTAAAAAACATAAATTCTTGTGTGGTCACTTCTCCACATTCTCCTTATTCTCCTTTAAAAAATTATGAATTGTGGGCTCCGAAAATTCGGCCCCGGCCTCCGCTCGCTCTTCTTATTCGGCGAGGGAGTTTTAACGAACTAAGTTCCGGGGTAAATTTTGGAAGGCAGATGGGTTTGTAGATAAGACACTACCCAGAGATTTCGCCCTCATTTTGTGAGGACTTTATGATCTGAGTTCTGGTTTCCTATAGGCGCAAGCCCCTATAGTTAATTACCTCTCCCGATCACGAGAGAGAACTTTCGATTAAGGCTAGTCGTCGATCAGATACGTAGAATATACGTGCATCTGGCATATAGTAGCAGCATAGGTTTAGGAATTGGAAATTTTGAAGATTTTGGATTTGGAAATTGAAGAATTGGGTTTTTGGATTTTTGGTTGAAAGATTTGATATTTAAAATAGAAATCTCACCATCTTGCACTTAAAGCGGATGATGGGGGAATGGATGATGGGCCCGATCAAGATCCCATGGTTCCGTCATCCCGGGCCATCGTGGTCCCTGGTCTACTTAGTCAGAGGAGGTAGTCGACCCAACCTGACAGAAGGATCCTTGTCGGCAGCCATGGGTTGCGTCGTCCAAGGGGACCTTATAGACCTGGGATGGGTGTTTGTCTAAGGGGACAAATTTAAATCCACCTTAGCTAACAGAGGGCTTTGTGCCCTATCGATCATATCCTATTGATTCATATCTCAAGGATTTAACGCCATTAAGGAGCGTATTGGCTCTGGCCATAACCGCTATCTGTGGTGCCATTTGGCGGCAAAACCACTCGGTTCAGAGGGCCCCGGGTCATAACCGTTTACCTGCAGTGCCATTTGGCGGCGAAACTGCCGGTTAGAGGACACGTACCACGTCCTTACTGGCAAGAGATTGTTTGAGAATGGATCCTAGTAATATTTTCGACTAGGCATTTAGCTCTTTTGTGAGCTGAGGTAAATTTTGATTTGTCCACCCTGACAAACTGTTGCGGAGGGTGGATGGATTTTGCTTTAAGTACGGATGAGTGATTTCAATTTTAAATATTTTTGGACTTTTGGGATTTTTGTGGAGTTTTTGAGTTTTTGGATGGAGCTTGGAAGACATTTGGATATTTAGGGGACATTGAAAAATATTTGGGAACCCCTCCGGTTGAGATATTCATTCAACACGGCCATCATCGGGGTGTTTGGAGGCCATTTCTTTTTATGGATTAAACCTTGTCAACTCTGTCGGGCTGTCGACAGAGGAAAGAGCGTCATCTGCATAAAGTAAATGAGTAATCTTCGGTCCTCCACTTGAAATTTGAATGCCAAGACTCTTCCCTCTTTGCTCCAGTGAGTTAGTGATCAACTGGGAAACACATGATGAATAAATATGGTGAAAGTGGACATCCCTGACGGAATCCACTTTGAGCATTGATCCAAGCAGAATTCTTCCCGTTAATGATAATGGAAAATATCACATCTACAACACATTCCAAGAGGAGGTTAGAGAAAGCAATAGGAAAATCATACCATCTCAAAATATGACGAAGAGTTACCCATCCCATGCTATCATAAGCTTGCTCCATATCAAGCTTAACAGCCATCATTCCCTTCTTGTTCTTTGAGATTTTGAACTTGTGAAAAATCTCCTGAGCTAATAGACAGTGTTCAGCAATAGATCTTCCATGGATGAAGGCAACTTGTTCTTCGGGAATCAGTTTAGAGATTCCCTTCTTCAATCTATTAACAAGCATAGTAGCCACAATTTTATAATTGGTTTGACATAGGCTAATGGGCCTATAGTTTGAAGGAGTCAAGGGATTCTTCAATTTAGGAATTAAGACAATCAAAGTGTCTTTCCATTCCTTATACATATGGCTGGAATTAAAGAAGCTTCTAACTGCATTCCATAAAGTTTCCCAAACTATATTCCAATAACTTTTGTAGAAGGAAGAGGTAATGCCATCCAAACCTGGGGACTTATTGTTCCCTTGCTGGAATACCGAAATTTGCAGCTCCTTTTCAGTAAATTCAGCATTTAACAACTCCAAATCTTCAGCATTTAACTTCTGATTCTCCATAATTGAAGGCCAGCCCGTTATTTCACATTCTCTATGCTTCCATTTCTTCTCAAAGAAGTTGATGAAGACCTTCTCGATTTGATCCTCCTCCTCTTGCAACTTATTTGCTTTATCTTTGACTTGAAAAATATGGTTCCCATTCCTTCTAGCCTTTGCAAAGTTGTGAAAAAGCTTGGAATTTGCATTACCTTCCTCATGCCACCTAGCCTTAGCCCTTTGATTCCACAAAGTTGAAAGTCTTCTCATAGTAACATTGAGTTCATGTACCTTGTTTCTAAGTTCAAAAAGGTCATCATCCGACCAATTATCATTCAAAGCTTCCTTATTTTGCAGATCAAGGATCTCCTTCTTCAATTTTTCCTTTAAAGCATTCAAGTCTTTGCATTTGTTTCTACTCCAGAAAAATAAGGATTTCAAGGTACAATTAAGCTTCTTTTGTAAGATAATATACTCATTACCAACATCATTCTTCTTCCAAGAATGATAAAATATACTCTTTGCCGCAGGATACGATCTCCATGTATCTTCAAACTTGATGGTTTTCGACTTAAGCTGCACCCTTTCATCCATCTTAATCACAATAGGACAGTGGTTAGACGCCATCCTCGCCAAATGTCTGTTTACTACCAAAGGAAGCTTCTGCATAGCCAATGAATTCATAATACATCTGTCTAACTTTTCCCAAATACGAGAAGTGCCCTCTTTGTTGGTACACCATGTGAATCTTGCCCCAACACATCCAATATCATGAAAATCTGAGTTCACCATGAAGCTCTTTATTTCTCTAGGTCCTTTAGAAAATAAGAACCTCTTACCTCCTCTCTTCTCATCCTTATTTAAAATGCAATTGAAATCTCCCCCTATAATAGAAGGAATAGAATTCTCCATGCTCTTTTCCAACTGGTTCCAAAGATCAGTTCTCTCCTTGCAGCAGTGACTCCCATAAACTGTAGCAATCTTCCAAGTTCCTAAGCTAGGAACCGAGAGATTACCAATGATCACCTGTGAAGAAGCTTCACACACCTCAAATGACACCAACTTTATATTCCACAAAACCACCCTTCCGCATTGATAGCACAGAAGATCAATTTTTTCGTATTCCACCCTT